CACACACACACACACACACACACACACACACACACACACACACACACACTCTGTGTGTGTTCTGACTCTCCACATTGCTCCATGCCCAGCCTGAGTCTCTCTCTCTCACACACAGTTGCCTGTCTCATCTCATTTCTTCACTTTATTTTTTTCTGCTCTATACTTACACTATTGAACTTGGCCTTCAGAGTCCTGATTTTATAATCAGATTTCTTTTTCTCAGTTTCCTAAGGAGAAGATTAAATTATTAGCAATTTCAAAGGCATGCTTTCTAAAAAGCAGATCCTGGAAGCCTTGCTTAGCCATAATAGAAACACATCATACTCACACAGGATATAGAAAAGGGGCCAAATTGCAGCTGTGTTTCTCCTGGCTCAGCCCAGTAACGCTCACACTTTTTCTGTTACATAAAAGAGAAGGTAATGGTTTCCCACATAGTCTAATCCCTCCTACAAAATGAAACCCACTCCTTTATTCAGAAGCAGCTCTGTGTTCTTCATCTTAGGTTAGGCACAGCTAACCACCTTGGACTTCAGCTCTAGCAGCATGATAGGGAATCTCCAAAGGATAAAGACAGACATTAAAGGATGTCTAAATTACAGAATTCCAAGAGCCTGAAAAAGTAGACATACCCATTGTTGACCTATTTTCAGCATCTCAAAAAAAGAAAGAGAGAGAAATCTGAAATTGTTGACTAGCACAGCTGCACCAGTTAGGTGCCAGATTCCTTCGATTCCCAACTCAGGATAACAACAGCAGACAGTGCAGTCAGATGTTTAGGTTTAAGATTTTGAATACCGCATTTTAAAATGAATATAGGTGAAATATATTTTAGCCCAAAATACCAAAATATTTAACATGTAATCCAGTGTACAGTAATAGTGCATATTTGCTTGCCCTGTTGTTGTAGTAAAAATTAAAATCCTATGTATATTTTATACATATCACACACCTTAAGTAGAATACTAAATTTTCACTGGAAATACTTTCTTTTATAGTAAATCATGTTTATATTTGAAAAAATTTCACATACCCCAAAATAGAGTTTTCAATAGCTAAAGTGATTAAACAGATTAAAATAAAAGTATTGACTCCTTCCACCATGCAATCCTTGGCAAGGACTTAATGGCTATGTGTGGTGGTGCAGCCCAGGGTGAGCCTCTGACAGGCAGAGTCTCTGAGGGGCAGAGTCTCTGTGGGGCAGTTAAAGCATCTGATAGTCAGAAAGGAAATGGTATTCTCTTCTACTTTCCTTTCTTTAACTGTTTAGCACAGGAGCTATGAGGGGAAATGGATAGAAGGGGTTCTCAGAGGTCAAACCGCTTGTGGATCACATGGTATGGTATGGTTTTTCTAGATACACATAAGCAAAGTTCTGTCATAATTGCCCCCAGCCTCCCACCCCACTACCACCTTTTTTTTTTCCTTTATCTTTAGGTCAACCAGTACTCAACAACAACTCACCTTTCCCATTTCAAACTCCATACATGCCATTACAATGACCTAGAGGCAGGAAACAGAAGCGTAAACATGTGTACAGAGCTAAAGAGGAGAGTCCTGCATGAGTCCCAGAGCCAGAACATATTAAACATTGTTTCTCTGTTGGCTTTGCCTTTTAACCCAAAAAGAAACCCCAAGGACATATGAACCACTCTTACTCTTCCTTCTTTTGTTCCCGCTTCCCTTTCTCTAGTCAGCTCAATTCTTGCAACAGAGAGAGACTGTCAGGCTGCCAGCTTTCATTCACGTGAACAAGAGTTCACAGTAAAATTGATAAAAGATACCAGTGCTCTGAAATTTCATCAAGCCAGAAGAAAAGAGCTGCTTTTAACAGCCAGGAAACCTGCTCAGTTTCTCCCTAGCGTCTTGCCTTCTCAACTGAAGTACCAGAAGCAATTACCCACTCACCAAGACACGGTATTCCCAGATCATCCTCCAGAAGTCCAGCAGAGTTGTAGATAAAGGACCCTGGGTGGCAATATAAGCCCTAGGTCCATAGACACCCTAAAGAGAAACATAATTCACCTGAGATGAGTGCAGACAGCACCCTCTTCTCCCTAGTCTTCTCCCCATACCCTATTTTAGGTGCTCAGAAAAATATGGGATGTTTTTATCTCCTCAGTCTACCTTAATAAAGCTGGCATTGATATAACTGGAGTCCTCATCAGAAGTTAACAGAGACAGCTCTACCAGGCTGTGATCATCTAGAACGAGAGAGAAAGAGATGGTGTAACTGAGAACTCTTACACAGAGGGATAAGTCTACATGAACAAGTAATAAAATGAATGAATGAGTTTTTTACAGTCATAGATAGTATAATTAATTTTCCAGCACAGTATTCCAAGATTAAGAACAAGTATTTGGTTAAAAAGTAGAGGAGGCGAGTTAAAATTGGAAGGATATACAAGTTTACATGAAGAAATGGAACTTACAGGGCAAAATATCCTTGTATCTATTTTTCTTGATATTCTTGGGCCTCTGAGCCACCGTTGTAGGATATATTTTGTCTGCCTTGTACTTGGTAGATTGCCTTTTCAACTTCTGAAATACAATTCCAAGAATTATTTTTCCAAAGAAACAGGTGAGAGATTTAGGAAAAATAGCTCACTTGAAAGCAGGAACACCTGAGTTTGATTCCCAGCACCTACATAAAAGACATGTGAGGGCTAGGAATGGCGACACATGCATTTGGCAAGCACAGGCAGACAGATCTTTGCAAGTCTGAGCCAGTCTGTTCTACATAGTGAGTTCCATGTTAGGCCAAGAAACATAGAAAGACCCTCAAAAATATTAATTAATTAATTAATTAATTAATTAAACTAACAAACAAATAAGCCAGCTGTAGTGGCTCAAACTTGCAATGCCAGTGCTGCAGAGCTAGAGCAGGTGGGTTCCTGGGGCTGATAGGCTAGCCAGATTAGCCTAATTGGCAAGCCCCAGATCACAAAACAAGGTAGATGACTCTTGAGGAAAGACATCTGAGGTCACCCTATGGCCTCCATAAATTTTCGTGCACAACCAAATACACATGTGCACCAGGTACAGGGAGATGTACATGTCTACCACATACAAGGAGATGCACCACATATAGGGCTATACATACGTGCACATGTGGAAGGACCTAAGAAGCCATTCATTTTTCACACATTCCACCCCAACCCTCTGGGGCTAACTTCTTCCAGGACAGGAAATAATGATGGCACAGTTCAGTGACTTTGGAGAAGTGAAGCTCACACTGCAGCTGAGTCACAGTGAAAAACCTACATCTGAAACTGCTAAATATTCAAGAAACCAAATAATCTCTAAAAGTGAGCTACGTGCTCCACCCAAGGAATAGACACCAGAGTATGACTTACTTTCTTTATAGGGTCTATTCAATGTCAACAAGAAAGTTATTAAATTCCATTCATCTTTTTTTTCCTAACTCAAATCATTTGTTTTCTAAGTAAAAATGGAGCTTAAGTTAGATAGACTCTGTTTATAGCTGTCAAAAATTTCAGAGACTGGGCTGGAGAGATGGCTCAGCGGTTAAGACCACTGACTGTTCTTCCAGAGGTCCTGAGTTCAATTCTCAGCAACCACAACCATGCGGCTCACAACCATCTATAATGGGATCTGATGCCCTCTTCTGGTGTGTCTGAAGACAGCTGCAGTGTACTCATATATATAACATAAGTAAATAAATCTTTAAAAATTTTTCAGAGATTTCAGTTCCAAAACATTTTTATGTGACTCAAACCTTAAGCCTACCCTTCCAGCAAGTTATAATCTAAACAGAATCATATTCTTTAGGTAGAATATGATCTGAGACAGCCAGGGGCTGTCTTAATGTTATTGGACAAGAATCTTTAGAATGATGCAACCACTCCTTAAAATTATTCCCGCTTATAGACCTAAGTTAGAGGTCATAAAGGATATTGTAATTTTTCTTTGGCTATTTGTCTGGAATTAATGTAGTCCAGAATTTCATCTCCTTTATGATTAAAAGAAGAAAAACAAATATGTTTACTAGGTCTGAATTTGTGAGACCTAACCAGTACCTCTGACAGTGAGTGAAAATGTTTACTGAATTAAGATGGTCTGCATTGCCGGGCGGTGGTGGCGCACGCCTTTAATCCCAGCACTTGGGAGGCAGAGGCAGGCGGATTTCTGAGTTCGAGGCCAGCCTGGTCTACAGAGTGAGTTCCAGGACAGCCAGGGCTACACAGAGAAACCTTGTCTCGAAAAACAAAAAAAAAAACAAAAACAAAAAACAAAACAAAAAAAAAGATGGTCTGCATTATGTCCTCACTGTCTAATGAAGAACCATCCCATGAGGAGTATTGGTTGCCTTCTAGGGCCAGATCCCTCAGCATCACCAGTCTTCATTCTCTTTAACTTCTGTTTTGAAATCTCTTCTTTCCTTGGCCCCTAATCATGCACATTTTCTTGTTTCTACACTTTCTTTGAGTCATTACACTGGCTGGTTTTATGTCAACTTGGCACACAAGCTAGAGTCAAGGAGGGAGCCTTGATTGAGAAAAATGCCTCCTTAAGATCCAGCTGTAGGAGATTTTATTAACTAGTGATTGATGGGAGAGAGCCCAGCCCATGGTGGGTGGTGCCATCTCTGGGCTAGCCATCCTGGGTTCTATAAGAAAACAGGGTGAGCAAGCCATAAGGAGCAAGCCAGTAAGCAGCACCCCTCTATGGCCTCTGCATCAGCTCCTGCCTCCAGGTTTAAGTTCCTGTCCTGACTTACTTCAGTGATGGACTATGATGTGGAAGTGTAAGCTGAATAAACTCTTTCCTCCCCACTTGTTTTTGGTCATAGTGTTTCATCACAGTCATAGGACCCTAACTAGGACACTCATCATTCCCACTTGCTCTTATCTCTTATTGGCTCTTTGTTCTCTAACAAAGAAATACCCAACACTCAAACATTAAATCTTTGACATTCTACTCTTCTCTTGATGTATATCCCCCACCTGAGAGCTAGCCATAAACCCTTATAGAGGGTGTATAAGTATTTGCAGGCCAGGCAGTGGTGGTGCACGCCTTTAATCCCAGTACTTGGGAGGCAGAGGCAGGCAGATTTCTGAGTTTGAGGCCAGCCTGGTCTACAGAGTGAGTTCCAGGACAGCCAAGGCTACACAGAGAAACCCTGTCTCTAAAAAACCAAATAATAATAATAATGTGCAGATTAATTTGCCAAAATTTTATTATATTTTCAGCATCAATTAGATACATCTCAAGTTTCTTTTTTTAACTGAAAGTTTTTTTAAAGAGTTATTTATTTATTTATTTATTTATTTAATGTATATAAACACACTGTCCTTGAAACACCAGAAGAAGGCATCAGATCCCATTGCAGATGGTTGTGAGCCACCATGTGGTTGCTGGGAATTGAACTCATGACCTTTGGAAGAGCAGCCAGTGCTCTTAACCATTGAGCCATCTCTCCAGCCCCCATCATCTCAAGTTTCTATACTTGATTTCATTTTCAAATTACCAACCAGATCTTAGATATTTTCATTTCAATATCTTATTGCAGCCTCACACTCGGCATATCTGAAACTAAAAGCATCATTATCCCACTTGTAAATGCCAGTGGAGCTATCTTTATTCTGAGCAATCCCACTCTGGCAAACAGGCAGTTTAGGTTCCTCCCTTCCCACAATTCCCACCTCAGATACATTTAGCAAGTTCAGTTGTTTCTTCCCGTGCAAGGTCTTGCATCAGCTTTCCTTCCTGCTATGGTTGGGATATGATGTGTCCCCCTCTAAAAGGCTCCTGTGTTAAAGTCTTGCTTGCCAGCTGATGGGCTTTGAGGAAGTGGTTAGCTAGACTCTGAAGGCTCTGGTCTAACCAGTGGATTTAAGCCCATGATAGATTCAGAATGTGGTTGTATTATTAGAAGGAGGGTCCTAACTTAAGGAAGTAAGCCACAGTGACATACCCTGGAAATATATATCTTGTTCCTATCCCCTTTCTGATGGTCTATGGTCTCTTTGTCTCTGGGAATCCATGAGGTAAGCAGCTTTGTGCCACTACGCCCCCACTGTTATGATGTTCTGCCTCTCCACAGGCTTACAGCAATGGGTCCAAGTAGCTATAGAGTGGAACTGTGAGTCAAAACAGTTCTTCCTCCTTCAAATCTATGATGTGTCATCACAGTGATAGAAAACCCTCTAGACACACTGAGTTTAGTTTAGACTCTTTGCCTCCAAGCTTCAACTCCTATGATTTCTCTTCATCTTTACACTGTTCTTCTTTTATTCAAATTTATTGGGTATAACTATGTCAATTAATTCAATTTATGCTTTGTTAGTTTTTCTAATGCTGCTTAAAGTGACTTCAATAAATAATTTTTACCACTTGGAAAATAAGTTCCAAACTCTGAAGGTAAGGGTCTCCTGAGCTAGAATCAAGTTCACGTTCCTGAATTTCCCAGTGCTTTCCCATTAACTCTCTAAAGATGGCTTCTATATTCTTTCAAGATCTCACAAACTGGTGTCATCATGTGTAATATGACATCTTCGATACTAGGGTATTCCTCTGGCTATTCATGAATGTTATGCATCCTTGGCACTGCTTTTACATTTTACAGCCATGGCTATGCTCTACTTTTGACCCACAGAGTGAATAAATAAGAAGAAATTTATCTCAAGTAAGAGCAATAACAACCAAAAATCAAGAGCGCTGTTATTACTATTACTTAACAGCTTATAGACTTCGTATAATACTTATCTGTCAGTAATAAGGACTTACAGTTTTGTGCAGGAGTTTGCTTGAGGAGACTTATTAAGTGGTTTTAAAATGAATGAAGAAAGGAAAACTCAAAGATATGGTAAGTGTATCCCAGCCCTCAGGAGGAGGCAGAAACAGGAGATCTCTGTGAGTTCAAGGCCAGACTAGTCTACATACAAAGTTTCAGGTCAGCCACTGCTGCACAGAGAGACTCTACCTACAGCAACAAAATCAATGGCACAGAAAGGAGAGAGGCAGAAAAAAAGGTGCTGGTAATAGAAAAGTTTGGTCTAACAAATTATCCAAATTCATCATGAGGCTTCAAAAGAGGGTCAGGTATAGGGACTCATACGCTTAATTGAAGAACTCAGGAGGAAGAACAGGTATGTGTCCCTGAGTTGGAGGCAAGCTTGGTCTCTCTATGTAGCCCTGGTTTGGTTTTTTTGTTTTGTTTTGTTATTTTTTCTTTTTTCAAAGAAAGAGAGAGAGAGAGAGAGAGAGAGAGAGAGAGAGAGAGAGAGAAAAGAAAAGGAAGAAAGGAGAAAGAAAGACAGGCTCAGGGAATTTGGTGACTACGTCAGTCTTCAATGAGATGAAATGAAGAGAAAATGGAGAACATAGCTAAAACTTTAGAACTATTAAAACTATTAAGTATATAGAATTTAATTAAACTCCCCCTGGAGTTTTCCCCATTTCTCATCTCTTCGCTCTTATCCTCCTTCAGAATAATCAGCTTTTATGTTGCTATAAGTTTTATGGCTGCTGAAAAGTGTCCCCAAGCTATTCTTTCTAGAAGTTTCCAGAATCCTCCT